AAAATGGCGAAATTTTGCCTTCTCACTCTGCCATTTGGTGCTTCCATGATTTGGTCCATCAACGTAGAATGTTTTCTCTTTTGCTCTTAGCCCTTTCCTGCCCGCCCTTTCCTCCTTTGACTTGGTCACCTCTGTTCTACACGTTCTTCCATCCTTAATTTTTGTTTTTCTCTTCCATTGCAAGATCTGGTCTATCAGTTCCCATCCCTGGTTCATCCAACACCTGTTTTCTCTTCTGCCAAACTGTCAGAAATCCCATGGTTATATTGACTTCTTCCACTAACAGACTCGTTTTTTCCTTCTTCAGCTTTATCTTCTTCCTAACTAACCATCTTTATTTCCCCTGCCTAACTGAATTCTGAGCCTGAAATCCTAACTGTTTTATCCCATGAGTCACTGCTTAAATTTTCTTTCCTTCCTTTCTCCACTGTGCTCAGCACATGACCTCCTTGATTTAGTAAAAAAGACAGATGAACTACCGTGTTACTCTACTTCCTACACTCTGTTTGCATTCCACACAGCTAAAATTCTTGTTCAACCCTCATCATTTGGCATCTTGACCACTTTAACATTCTCCTCTTTGGCCTTGACACATGCTTGCCTCATTCAAAATGCTGCTGCAAAGATCTTAAACGTTCACTGTCTTTTCGTTGTAGTATACTGCCCAAGGGGCTGGCATTTAAGAAAAAATAACTTTGTAAATTTGTGAACTGACATTTTTAACAAATCTCCCTTTAAAAAAAAGTATTCCAGATTTGGTTGGATGTCAAATTTCTTGGTGCTTTTTTTTTTTGGAAGTTTTTTTGTCTTGCTCTAATTGCAAGAAAAATCATGAAAAATGTTTGAAGTTTAAAATACCAATATTAGAAAGCTAAGAAATTACTGTTTTAATTTATAAAATGTAAGTTACAACATTCACAGTTAAGGTCACCCAAAATACCTTAATTGTGTACCATCTACCTTGTCCATCTTCCTTAAAAGTAGATACATTTTATTGTAAGAAGACTGAAATAGCATAATGTGCTAAATGTGTCATGATGCAGCTTGTGGAGTATAACCATGATACCCTGAATTTAATTAGCTCGCTAAAAATCATGAGTAGGATTTGGCTGTGTCTAGATGAGCTGCAAATCACACCTCATCTGCGATATAGATGTGACTTTAGAGCTGAGGTCGGGAACCTAAGGCCTGGGGGCCGAGACTCACGGCTCCTCCGCTCCCCAAACTATTGGGGAGCTTGTGCTAGCACTCCAGTCCCAAGACCCCTCCAGCCATAAGGCTGGAGCACACAAAATCTAGTAGCCTGGGCTTCCGTAGGCTCTGGTGTGAGAGAGGAATGCGGGAAGTGTCTTTTTTTTCTTTTCAGTCAGAGGCCACGTCAGTGAGAATTCTGTGTGTGTTTTGTGTGTGGTGTGGTTTTTTTTGTTTGGTTGGTTTTTTGCTTCTCACTTGTGTGTGGCCCCCAACTGATTTTTCTGTGGGTCACTGGCTCCTAACACACAAAAGGTTCCTTACCCCTGCCTTAGGAGAACAATGAGATTCAGTTAGAGGAAGATTTATTTTTAGTAAATAGGCTTTGTGATTTCTTTTCTCTGTTTCTTTTCTCCAGAAAGCCTTGTCTGATTTGCCTCAAATTTATTAGTCTATGTTGTCCACGTGTAAAACTTCAGGCATATATATAATTTTGGAAAAATGAGGAGGATGGTTAAAATCATTCTTCTGGGGGAATTGAACTTAATTATGGAGAGACTTGATGTCTCTCTACCACTAATACTTTAGGTCAAGGAACATTCCTACTCTGACAAGGAAATGGAATTAAATAGTTTACATAATTTCACAATCTTTTACAGTTTGCAAAGAATCTCAAATTAAGTTTGTATAAAATTAAAACTGTGTGGACATGGCGCAATGGAGAGATATAAAACCATGGGGGAGCCCCCAGCTTTACGTGCCTGCACCCTACTGAGAACCAGATTTGGGTCCCGTGGGAAGCGAGTCCAGTGGGGTCTGAGTTATCCTGGAGCTCCAAGGCCCACCTCATTCTTACATCCCTACCCACACCTCCTTCTCGCTGCCTCCATTCCTACACCTACCCATCCTTCCATAACCCCTCCCCCAACCCACATTATCCATACCCCCACCCCCTTCCTCCATTCCTACACCTCCATACTCCCCTAGCTCCTCCTCCCTGCCCTCCCACACTGCCCATCCCCCTGCCACCATTCGTATATCCTCTTCACCCTCACCATGTCCCCTTACTGCACAGCCCATCCTCACATGCACTCTGTCCCCCTTCCTCCCTCCCTACGCACGCCCTGCTCCCTCCTACTCATTTGTCGAGCTGCGCGCTTGGGCTCAACCCAACCTTTCTGAATGGGCCTGTTGGTGTTTGTGTAACCAACATGCGAACGGCCTTTGGGGCAGTTTTGCTCTGTGGCAAACCCAGGGAGCCTGGGGTGCAGCATAACTGCACTGTCCCCAAAGGGCTAGCTGTGCAGTGTGGCCAAGACCTGCCCAGCTCGTGGTGGGCCTGGAAAAACTCGCCTGAGCCAGAGGTCTGATCCTGGTGCTTCAGTGGGTGCACTCCTTCCCTGCAAGGCTGGGGTGCAGCGCTACGAGCAGGGCCCCGGAGAGAGCTGGAGGGGTGAAGTGTTGAGCCAGGATCCCAGCAAGTAGGGGGCAGTGCTTTATGGACAGAGGGGCAAACAAGGTAGCCCCAGACGGTTAGGCCTTCCTTAGGAGGTCCAAGGGGCCCTGAGGCTCAGTCGTGGCAAACCCCCAAAGGGCTGCACCTCCACAGCATTCATTGGAGGTTGGATGTCTCGGGAGGAGCTGTCTATGCAAGGGCCTTGCGGAGCCCCGGGTGTGGCCAGGCAGGAGGCCCCTTGCCGTCTGCAGACCTTCAGCCCCTCGCTGCAGGGTGGGCCCCATGCAGGCCTTGTCTGCTCTCGATCTCCTGCAGGATTCGCTTGCTCAGGGAGGCTCTCCGTCATCTTGAGTGGGAGGAAACTAGGTAGCTCCACCACCATGGGACACGCTGGAGACGTGGTGCTGTAGTGGCTGCCAGGGGCTGGGCCCCTGCGCTCCTCGCCCCCACCCTGAAAGCTGCTTTGCTGGGTTCCACCAGGGCAGCCAGGAGTCACTGCTAGCACCAAGCCAACCTGCTCTGCAGTGGGCTGCTGGTGAAAGGGCATGGGGTTGTTGAAAAGGCAGGAATTGGAGGGGAGAACAGGGACTTGGGGGAATGAACTGGGAAAGGAAAGGGGACAGAAAGGATTAGGGTGAAAGGGGAGGCCGTGTGGCTGAGCGTGCAGGCGGGAGGTGAGATGGATAGTGACATAATGATGTCACTCCATCCTGCAGGAAATTTTTTATATATACATATTAGAGAGAGAGTTAATATCCAAATATACTTTTAGGCATTGAAAAATTATGATTGTGATTTTACTACTTTCTGCTCACATTAATCCTGGGGACAAAACAGTATGTGGAGTCTGCTGTGTTTTGGGTATCATAAGAAAATGCTAACTAGCATCAAATAAATCCTCTTATCCTTTGTATAGCCATAATCATTTTCTCATGAGGTACAGTCAGGAAATACTATTTTATTTTCAGCTGAGTTTGTAAGGCATGGAAACTAGGAAAACTCTCATTTTTTACTTATAAACTAAGCAAATTCTTTTTGAAATTTATTCTCACATTGAATCTCACAGTGCAGTTGTTAGTGCTTTTAAGATAGAACTGCACTGTTTTCTAGGATTAAACACCAGTCACCAGTTTTATAGTTAATACTTGATAATTTTATTAAATATTATACGTTTTATAAAGTATACTTATATTGTGTGTGAGACTCAGATTTTCCATCATATTTATGACTGTTGAAATATATCACTCCACTAAATTGCAGGTTTCCTCTTCCATATAGAGTAAAAACTTTATCTGGCACTTGAACATCTGGAAAACTTGGTTAACTGGCATTGCCCCAACCACTATACCCAGGCCATAACAAGGGCAGGGCAGGTCGGGCATTCGTCCCGGGCACATCATAATCGGGGGGGCAAAGACACAAAAAGTAAAAAATAGTAAATTACACAGTAAAGCGCACGACTGATGCTAACCTAAGGCGAGTGGGCGCATAATTAATATTTTGCCTGGGCGCAAAAATACCTATTGAGGGTGCTGACTATAACCTTGCATCATCAGGCATGCATATGCTTGAGTCCCACCTATCTAGCAAGGCAGTGTGATACCTTCGGCTATTAATGGGGTTTCTGATAGCTGACACTGCCAGATGCTGTCGCTGTCAAGTGCCTCCTTCCCCCTCAGCCTCCCTTCAAGCTGTTTGGGAGCCAGATCTGCCAGAGGGCTCCCAGGCAGCTGACCTATTCGTGTATGGCCCTGTGTCTCAGTGGGAAGTAGAAGAATTGCCAAGCGTTTCTAAGGGGGTGGGAGTTGGTTGCTATGGGATTCTCCTGGTAGGGCATGGGCAGAGCAGTAAGCACAAGTACCTGGCACACTCTAACCAGCAACCCCCATTCCCTATGAGTGCCAGATAGAAAAGCTTTTACTGTATTTGATAAATGTTATATCAAAATGAATGGAAAGATGCTATTCAGTCCACATTTAATCCATTGAAAACTCCTGCTTTTGTGGTCTCTCTTAGTTGGAGCTGTAGTTAATTTGCTTTCAACTCCCTAATTTCTAATGACTTTGATAGTTCAGTCTCCTTTGAAGAAACCTGGTTTGAACTACTCCGATATATTAAATTGAATCTTACCAATAAAGATTTATAAAATTTTGTCGTTAAATTATTGGTAAAATGTGGGATATTTTCACATGGCTTCATCATATACATTACACATAAACCAAATACTGATTGAAAATTCTATAAACTTCTTCAAATTTTTCCTTTTAACTTGGATATTCTTCCAAGCTCTGAAATACAGGTATGTTTAATTTTTATAGAAACATTCATGATGAACTATGTTTGTGTATTTTAGGGACCAGTTACTCTCCACAAGAAAATTCACATAACCACAGTGCTCTTCATAGTTCAAATTCACATTCTTCTAATCCAAGCAATAATCCAAGTAAAACTTCAGATGCAGTAAGTATTAAAGGTCGTTATCATCAGTGTCTATGCCTTAAGCTGGTTTATATGTACTAGTTTTGCTATTTTCAACGGAATTATAGAGGATGAATTTTCTGCATATTTTATTGAATTGTATTTTAAAAATAGAGGGAACAGTATTACAGATTTTATTTGGCAGAGTTTATATGTTAATACATGGCTTCAGTATATTGTTAGTTGATTTCAGTATAGTTAATTGTCAGTGTGCATTCCAGATGTACCTGCCTTGCCTTTGACAGTTTTTAATCAAAAAGACACATAATGAATAGAGAAGTACTTTCCCTAAATATATAATACTCAAGGATCTTACTTTAATATTTTGGTTCCCTAGTAGTAGTCTAACATCATACCCCAGGCTCTTGTGTTTTTTGGAATTTTGGGGCAACACTAATAGATTTTTGAGCCTCGTTACTTACTGGTTAGCACACATCATTTCCTATGCTTTAAACACTCAGTTCTAAAAATTGCTATAATCATATCGGTCTGTGCTAAAAATTGTTCTGGAGTATGGGAAAACAGAGAATCCTCCAAATTATTTTATAAAATAATAATGTAGCTAAAAGGCTACAAGTTTTTGATTTACATTATCTGGACATTTTGAGGAGGTTCTTGAGCGGTAGTAATAAAAGATCTGAAATCACCAGCATGCTGAAGACTGATATAGATAAGAGTGAGATTACAGTGATCTAGTGAGTATAGCACCAGATCTCAATTTATGCTGTAATTTAGTAAGATGAGGTAGGAGAAGCAGTGTATTGTTTGAAGCAGCTGGAATGCATTACAGGCAGTCCCTGGATTACGTACAAGATAGGGACTGTAGGTTTGTACTTAAGTCGGAACTAGCGTCCAGATTCAGCCGCTGCTGAAACTGACCAGCGGCTGACTACAGGAAGCCCGAGGCAGAATTTCTCTGCCCTGGGCTTCCTGGAATCAGCCTCTGATCAGTTTGAACAGCAGCTAAATCTGGACGCCTGGGACAGAGCAGCTGTGACGCTGCCGGGTAGGTCCCCGCAGCACCGCACCCCAGCTGCACTACCCCAGGTGTCCCCAAGTCAGCTGCTGCTGAAACTGGTCAGCCCGCGTCCTCCGGGGTGAGAAAAGCCCCGTTTGTAAGTACGGATCCGACATAAGTCGGATCCGCGTAACTCGGGGACTGCCTGTACTGTTGTGGGAAGTGATAGAGGAGGGACATTTGTATTATGCTCTAATATAGCAAGAACATTATATTGTCCCCTACTTAGTGTTTCAAACTTAATCTGAAGGAAAAGAAAACACCTTGAGCTTTTGAATATATTAGAATGTCTAAAACTTATTTAAAAACTGTCAGGTCATGTGTTCTCTAACATTGTTGTTCATATTTTTGAAGTCCTATGATTCTGCGGATGACTGGTCTGAGCACATCAGCTCTTCTGGGAAAAAATACTACTATAACTGCCGAACAGAAGTTTCACAATGGGAAAAACCAAAAGAGTGGCTTGAAAGGTATAGATACGCTTGTATTTTTTAATTATAATATATAATCTGGAAAGCATACTTGATTTGAATGTCTTTATTTGTTTTGGTTTTTTTTGCAGAGAGCAGAGACAAAAAGAAGCAAGCAAAATATCAGTTAACAGTTTCCCAAAAGATAGGGACTACAGAAGAGAGGTGATGCAGGCAACAGCTGCCAGCGGGTTCACCAGTGGAAGTATGTGTAGTTTTTGGTTTGTTAGCGTTTTTTTGTTTTTGTTTTTTTACAGTTAAATGCACTTGGTTTATGTGCTTTGCTTACTTTGTATTAATACTTTTCTTTGCCAGACTAAAAAAGAAAACCCCTCTTCCGTAGCCTGTGCTTTTTGAGGCAGTCAGGGTGGCCCAATTCACTCCCCCCCCCCTCCAAAATCTAACTAGAGAGAACTTCTCCAATGATCATACCCACCGATGTCTCAGAGCAGCTTTGAGGCTGTTGAACTAGAGTATTCACTTGTATATTTGTTCTGTGTTGTTATTCCTTTTATGTATTATTATTCATTGTGGGCTATTATATATGCAGCATTTATCCTTCAGTTTTGACTGCACAATGCTTTTCTCTAGCTACTGAGAGTCTTCTCCCAGTGTTCTTTTTTCAGTGCTTAAGATACTAGAGATTTATAAAGGGCCTGGTGATTATCACTATTTCTTTATAAATCACAGATGAGCAGCGTAATAATATCTGGAGAAAATATATTCTGCTTCAACAAGTGTAGAACGAAGTAAGGAAAATGCACATTTCAAGAAAAAAAATTGTATTGCAATTAGAGCTGCCAGTTAATCACAGTTAACTCATTTGATTGACTCAAAACAATTATAAATTAATAATGATTTGTCATAATTTTTATAAATTTTAATAATAGTAAATTTGTTATAAATATTTTTGGATGTTTTTTCTCCTTTTCTAATATGTTGATTTCAGTTACAACACAGAATACAAAGTGTACAGTGCTCACTTACTTTTTACTGTAAAAATTTTCTGTTGATGGCAGTCTGAATCAAATGATGAAAATGAATGTGCTTTCGATCGTTATCGAGTAGAACCAATCATTGGTATGGAAGCATGTCCTCTGGAGAGGGATAGTCAGAGCATGAAGGGGCATAAAATGTTTAGCATATCTGGCATGTAAATATCTTGTAATTCCAACTGAAATAGTGCCATGTGAATGCTTGTTCTCACTTTCAGGTGGCATTGTAAATTAGAAATGGGCAGCTTTATGTCCTGTAAAAGTAAACATGTTTCTCTGTCTTAGCAATTGGGTGAGCAAAAATTAGGACTGAGTGCACTTGAAGGCTCTAAAATTTTACTTTGTTTTATTTTTTGAGTGCAGTTATGTAAAAAAGTTCTCAATTTGTAAATTGAACTTCTTCAAGTGATTGTTCATCTCGATTCCAAGTAGGTATGTGCATACCGCATGCGTAGTCATTGGAAGGTTTTCCCCTAGCAGTATGTGTCGGTCAGCAATGGAGACCCTGGGCCATTATGGTGTTGTATATAGACCACCGCTGACCTTCCCCTAACTCAGTTCCTCCTTACTGCCAGTGAAGGTCGTTCAAGCTTTCTTTTCTCTTGCCTCGGCCAAGTGTATCCCATAGATCTTACTGTTTATAGTGTAAATAATTAATAGTTGAGTAGTCAACAGTTCTTAGATAGTGTATGTAGACAGTCTTCTTAGTGGGGATCAATTTTTTCTCCTCCCCTTTCCCAAGGACTGGGGCGTGCCTTGGTTCCATGACTTTAAATGCTGTTCTTCATGCCAGAAGCCAATCCCCACAAGGGACCTCCCCGCCCCCTCACCTCATGACTCTTGCCTTAAGTGTTTGGGGGAGGCACATCTTGCTGGTAAGTGCAAGATATGCCAGGGTTTTTGCCTGAGAACCAGAATGGAGAGGGACATTAGACTCAAACTCCTTCGGCTGGCCCTGAAATTTGCTTTGTCAATGCGTTGAATGCTGTCTTCGGTTGAGGGCACTGCAGAAAGATTCTGCTTTCAAGATGCCTCTGCTCCACCATTCTCTGGAGCTGGAGGTCAGAGGAGCGGCCTCCCAGCACTGCTCACATTCACCAGTGCTCACATTCACCCTAACCATGGCGCCGCAATTAGAGCACAATCTAGCACTGAGGTACCACCCACAAAGGCAATTAACCTGCCCAGTGCTCTGCATCAGCCAATGCATCTGGAAGTGCAGAAGGACTTAGGACAGGACTGATGGGACTTTCAGTCCTTCCCTGATGAGTCAGTGGCAGGCTCATCTTTGTCCATATCACCTATTGGTAGTAGAGCCCATCAGGAGCTGCTCAGAAGGGTAGCTCAGAACTTAGGCCTGCAGGCTGAAGAGGTAGTTGAGGACCTGCACCCTATGGTGGACATCCAAACCCATGGCGGACCCTTTAGGGTGGCTCTGTCCTTTATTAACATTATTTAAAATACCACTAAGACCCTTGTGGCAGACCTCTGCTTCAATCCCTCCCACTGCAATGGGAAAAGCAAGTATTTTGTCCCATCTAAGAGGTACGAATATCTCATCTATATGTGCATCCTCAACTGGGCACTCTGGTGGTTGGTGTGGCCTATGCCAAAGAGAGAAAGGGACAGCAAGGGTTGACCTGTAAATCCAAGGAGGTAAAGAAAATGGACTTCCTGGACCATAAGGTCTATTCGACTGGGGGACTTCGGTTGAAAATATCAAATAAGCAGGTGGTTGTTTACTCCTGAGTGTTCTCAGGGAAGTTTAAAGAACTCCTTCCAATGGAATTGTGTTCCGAGTTTTCAGCCCTCTTGAAGGAGGGTAAATTATTTTCAGTTCCTCCCTTCTACTGACACTGGGTGCGGCTGACTCTGCCATGCACACAGTCTCCATAGGCATTGTCATGCACAAGAGTTCCTGACTCCAGGTTTCTGGGAGTCCTCCAGAAGTGCAGCAGACAATCCAGGATTTTCCCTTTGATGGCTTAGTGCCGTTTGCTAAGCAAACAGATTCCAGGCTCCAAAATGTAAAGTATGTTAGGGTGACCGTAAAGTCATTGGGTCTCCATATACCGGCCCGCCGGAGAATGCCCTTTGAGCTCCAGTCTCCCCTGCATTACTTCCCATCTCTGCAGAATCATGACTTTGGGAGAAGGGGCAACCGCAGGAACAGGAAGAGGCCTCCTAATGCCTTTAACGATCAAGGACAATCCTCCAGGCAGTCCCCTGTTTCTAAAAGAAATTTTGAAGGTGGTGCATTTGGAAATGGTGCTCCACTCGCCATTCTGGATCCTTCCCCTATGTTTGGGGAGCAATTATCCCACTTCTACTGTGCTTGGGCCCAGATTACTTCAGATTGCCGGGCCTTAAGCATGACAGAACTCAGATATTCTTCCCAGTTTTCCTCCCTCCCAGATTCCTTCTCTGTCCTTCTTCAGGGACCCTTCTCACAAGCACCTCACAAGATAAGTAACAGGAGTAAAAACCCATGCCCTTGAAGTCTTGGGGACCACCACTTCCAACTCCTGTTTCTTTCTTATCCCAAAGATTAATGGTGGCCTTTGGACCTTTGCACCCTTAACCAGTACATATAAAAAAAGCTGAGGTTCTGTACGGTTTCCCTGTCAGCTATCATTTTCTCACTGGATCCGGATGTTCAGAACTAGGGATGTGAGCATGTAATTGTTTACATGATTAACTGATAAGCCTGGGCCACAAAGGGGGCAGGGAGGTGGGAGCCAGTGCCTGTAAAGCCCACTCACCCACGTGTGCCGGCTCCTGTGGAGTGTCTGATAGAGAGGCAGCAGCGTGGGGGTTGGGGGACAGGTGGGAGCTGATACATGTGGGAAGCCGGCTTTCTCCGGGGGGCCGGCTTCCTGCGTGTACCAGCTCTGCAGAGATGCCCTTCCCCTTGGCACTGCTGCCTCTGTGTCAGAGGCAGCAGGGGGAGGCAGGCAATATGTGTAACTGCTGAAAAATTCAGCAGTTACACGTTACAAAAATAAATGTTTGCTAACATCCCTATTCAGAATGAGTTGGCTGACAGCCTCTGCTGGAAGTTCCACTGTCACAAATGGTTTTTCATCTGGATATCGCAAACTGCATATTCTAGAGAAGGGGCTCTCCCTAAATAGACCTCTTTGCAACATGCCAGAACAGGAAGAGTCAAATTTATTTCGTTCCTTCCTCAGTCTCAGCCTGGATACTGTAGCAGACACCTTACACATTCCATGGAAAGCTAGCCTGCTGTATTCATTTCCTCCATTCACACTCATCCACAAAGTCCTGCTCAAGATCCTCCAGGATGAGGCATTGGTGATTCAGGTGGCACCAGCGTGGCCCAGGCAGTATTTGTATACAATGCTAATGGGCCTATTGGACAAGATGCTACTCCTGCCTCTGATTCCTGAGTGGTTCGCTCAGGACCATGGCTGTCTTCAGCATCCAACCTGCAGTCCCTTTATCTCATGGCCTGGAAGTTCTGTAGGTGAACCAATTGGAGCTTACATGCTCAGTAGCGGCTAAAGAAGTTCTTTTAGGCAAGAGAAAACCACCTACTCAGCAATATACATTATCCAAGTGGAAGAGACCAGATGGAAAACCTTTTCAAAAAGGTATTCAACCTCTGCAAGACTTGGTTATGACAATTCTGGACTACTTTTTTTCCCACTCGAAACAACAAGGTCTCACTGTAGCTTCTGTAAAGGTGCACTTAATGGCAATTTCTGCTTTTCACCCAGGATAAGGGGCCAATTGTTGTTCATGAACCCAGTGGTGAATCACTTCCTGATGGTCCTGGATAGAATGTATCCTCATGTGAAACAACTATCCCACAATTGGACTTGAAGTTGTTTCTGTCTAAACTAATGGGTCTGCCCTGTGACCCTCTAGTGACCTGTTCTCTACTCTGTGTCTTGGAAGGTGGCATTTCTAGTGGCTATTACTTCTGCCAGAAGGGCTCTGATGTAAGGGCTTTTAAGTTCAGAGATACCTTGTCCTTACAGAAGATTGTATAAGTTGCTGCTCCAGCCTCACCCAGCATTTCTGCTAAAGATGGTCTTATATTTTCATACCAACCAGGACATATTCCTGCCTGTTTTTTTTACCCAAAGCCGCACATGTCACAAAAGGAGTGATGGCTTCATAGTCTCAATGTCAGACGTGCCTTAGCTTTCTATCTGAAGTACATGAAACCATTCAGGAAGTCGATTCCAACTATTCATTTCCATCACAGGTAGAACAAAGGGCTTCCCAGTCATCTCACAGAGGATCTCCTCCTAGATACTAGCCTGTATTAGGGTTTGCCCATGTTCCCATCCAGGACATTGGTAGAGCAGTGAGTTGGTCTTTAGTGCATACTTTTACATCTTGCTACACCATTCTTCAACATGCTAGAGATGGCGCTGCCTTTGGAAAGTAGTACTTCAGTCTGCCAATCAGTGATTTCTCAACCCCCTCCACAAGAAATCTGCTTGAGTCACCTACTTGAAATTAACATGAGCAATCACTTGAAGAAAAAATGGTTACCTACCTCTTGTAACTGTTGTTCTTAGAGATGTGGTGTTCATGTCCATTCCAAGATCCACTCCCTTCCCCTCTTAGTTTCTCCAGCAAGAAGGAACGGAGCCAGACAAGGGTCCACGGCTGTCTATATACAGCACCACAGTCGTGCTACTCCAGGGTTACTGCTAGAGAGAAAGCCTTAAGACTGTGCACGCAGGATGCACATTGTAATCAACATAGCAAAGCACCTCAAATATCAACAGTTATGAGAGATAGGTAACCATTTTTCCATAATTAATAGATGACACTACAGTTGTATGAGGTGAATTGAAAAATAGCTTTTATCTTTTTTAAAATGCAAATGTATGCAGTCAGAAATTATGAGGTGAGTAATGTCCACTTTGTATTGTGTTGTAATTGAAGTGAATGAATGAATATATTTGAAAATGTAGAAAAATATCCAAAAGTATTTAAATAAATGTTTTATTATTAACAGAGCAATTAAAACTACAGCTGTTATTATTTTTAAATCATTTGGCAGTCATAATAACAATAACTATTTGCTTTTGTGAATATCCAGGTGTATAGAAGAGAAATTCATAAAATGTGAAAATGTTTTGCATGGATCTGCAATAATTTAGTCTTGCAGACTATATATAGCATATGCATATATTTTATTTTAGTTGGGGGTGTTAATGGACTCTTTTTAAAAAAAACCCGTAAATATAGAAGACTCACTACAAATAGTTTGTCCTTAAGCAGAGTACTTAACTGGAATTCTAAATTGGACAAAGGTCTTAATGGTGTTTGAGAAGGTACATGAATAAAATCAGGTGGTCTTGTTTGCCAGCACCCAACTGCTAGTAGCTATTGTGCTCGCAGGTGAGAGTTTTAAAAAATTTAATATCAGAGTGGTAGCTGTGTTAGTCTGAATCTGTATTGCACCTTATAGATTAACAGATTTATTGGAGCATAAGCTTTCGTGGGCAAAGACCCGCTTCATCAGATACATCTAGTGGAAATTCCAGAGGCAGGTATAAATATACAGGCATAAGAAAAGAGTTCCAACCAAGAGTAAGGTTAGTGATAACGAGGTCAATTCAGTCAGGGAGGATGAGGCCCACGTCTAGCTGCTGATGTGAAGGAGTGAACCTCAAGGATATGTCTAGACTATGTTCTATTTTGGAAAGAGGCTATGCAAATTCCGCAGGAATCTTCTGATCTCCCTTTCGAAAGCCCTTTCTTAAGTGAAAGTAGTCTGGATGCTTTTTTTTCCTGGGGGGAAAACAATCCTTTTTGAAAAAACTGCTCTTCCTTAAAAAATGAGGTTTATACACGCACTTCATCAGATGCATGTAGTGGAAATTTCCAGAGGCAGGTATAAATATGCATGCAAGAATCAGGCTAGAGATAACGAGGTAAATTCAATCAGGGAGGATGAGGCCCACTTCTAGCAGCTGATCTGGAGGTGTGAACACCAAGAGAAGAGTAACTGCTTTTGTAATTGGCTAGTCATTCCCAGTCTTTGTTTTGACACTATCGCCTTAGGATTAAACAAAAACTGTGAATGGCTAGCCAACTACAAAAGCAGTTTCTTCTCTCTTGGTGTTCATACCTCCACATCAGCTGCTAAACGTGGGCCTCATTCTCCCTAACTGAATTGACCTCGTTATCTCTAACTTTACTCTTAATTGGAACTCTTTTCTTATGCCTGTATATTTATACCTGCTTCTGGAATTTCCACTACATGCATCTGATGAAGTGAGTCTTTGCCCATGAAAGCTTATGCTCCAATAAATCTGTTAGTTTATAAGGTGTCACAGGACTTCTCGTTTTTAAAAATTTAATGAAAGTCTAATCACATTTAATGATGTGTATGCTATTGAATTAGTCATAGTCTTTGCACTGATAGTGAAGCTTCTAACTGAATCTTTTTTCTTATTGCATCATTCTTTGTGAACTCTGAACAACAGTGGAAGACAAGCATTCCAGTGATGCCAGTAGTATACTCCCTCAGAATATTTTGTCTCAGACAAGCAGACACAATGACAGAGACTACAGACTGCCAAGAGCAGAGACTCATAGTAGTTCTACTCCAGTACAACATCCCATCAAACCAGTGGTTCATCCAACTGCTACCCCTAGCACTGTTCCTCCTACTCCATTTTCTCTACAATCTGATCACCAGCCAAAGAAATCCTTTGATGCTAATGGAGCATCTACTTTATCAAAACTGCCTACACCCACATCTTCCATCCCTTCACAGAAAACAGAGAGAAAAGGTATGTCATATAAAACAGAGAGAAAAGGTATGTCATATAAACTGTTTTATGTTGCTCAGTATTGCAAGTTGAATTTTGACCTTTGATCATCTAGTCTGACCTCCTTTATATGAAGGCTTCCCTGATTTAATTTTCCGTTGAAACTAGAATGTATCTTTCAGAAAAACAATTGCTCTTCTGGGTTTGCCATTTACAGGCATATACTGCAAACTTTATTTCAGCTGACCACCACTAAGAGTGCCTAAAATCCTTTTTATGTTATTGAGGAACTTTACAATTACTCCAGTTTTCAACATAACCGTAGTATCCATGTTCCAAAGCCCTCTTGGACTCATGTATTTTCTATCACAGATTGTATCTTGTTGGGATTCCAAGTGACAAAATATTTGTTTTCCTATAATGCAACATGGGAATATGGACTGGTGCATATAAAACTGAGCAGTTACACTCTTATGTATATCAGAAGTATAATCTTGAAAAAATGGGTGGCATTCTTTTATTTTGGTAGCTGTCTTCATAGCAAAGGGAAGGTT